AAATACGCCTGCATTACCCATAAAGTTGCTGTAATGTCAGGGGAATATACTCCGCATTTACATTATTCTCATTCGAAATGCCCCTTTTGTCCTGACGCAACCATTTCAGTGCGTTCATATCAAAGAGGAGGAGTAGTGGACTCAAGTTCCATTCTTATAGAGCTCGATATCTTAAATATCGTGCCAACGAAATCGTTAGATGCTCCTTTTGCACCATACACAGTTGAGGAATGTCACGAAAAAGAAATTGAGTTAAGTTCCTCGTCAAAAACTATTTTGAAAATACTAATTACGTGTGTGTATAAGTAGAATATTAGGATGATGGAAGCGCGGAAATTACGCCTACACGATGATTTGAATCTGAGTCCAAAACGCTCCGCCCATCGTTGTAAAATGCGGCCTTGTGAATGCACAACAGATCCTGTTATCTTATGAATAGCTTCGCTTACCGCAGAACTCTTTCGTACCGGTCTTTCGAATAAGCTGAAACAGCACACGGTTATTTCAGACAGCAGGAAAATTTTCCAATTTCCGGGCTTTTATCCACACTATTTTCACGGCGGTTTCTCAAGTTGCAGTTTCGGCCTTCTTGACGGTTGTTCAAGAAAATGAAAGTTGAGTTGCGGGGCAGGTCTGTGCTTCAATGTCGGAAAACGAACGTTGTTCTGTGCACATGCGAATTAATTAACAATCACTCTCTGCTTTGCTCAATACCATCTAGAGGTTCATTTATGGCGCGCATGGAACAAGATGAAACTTGACACCTGTGCTTTTTGGGAGGTGGGGATGCGAAATCTGGGAATGAATTTCGTCTTTCAGTTGGAAAACGCTTGGCACCGATTGATCAATCGTTTTAGATGAAGTTTGGGAAACAAATGTCTTTGTTGGCATTCTTTGTAACACGCAGAGTTCACGAACATCCCGCACATTGTTGCTCGATGTAGGTAGATTTTGATTGTCTCTGAAAAGTTCACTGCACATAACCCAACCCAAAGCTGCTATCTCTGCGTTGTAGTCGGGTTTGAGTTCTGCAATGATATCGCATGCTACACTGGTTGAAACGTCGTTCCACAAGGCGCCGTCATGCCAGGAAGGCCAAAGAGGAGCCGTCAGACGAAGAGCGAGACCTCGTAAGACGAGTAATCGTGTTACGAGGCGGTCTTGGGGTGAATTCGTACTGTCCTCTGCGATAGGAGTGTGAAGGCAGTAAGGTGTTTCTCTCCAGGCGACCAACGAGCCCATATTCATAGAAGCAGCGATGCCGCGTCCCCACGGAGAAGGACGGGTTGGAAATGTTCGGCCCTAAAGAACACACACTCCGATTACCCACCGGTTGACCGTGGCTGCCGGCGCACTATTCGATGCGGTCCAAATGCATTTAAAAACAAAGTCCGGTGTTGCTGAGTGCAGTGAAGCATCACTGCTAACACTGATGTTGCTGTCTTCGATGATAATGATGATGATGCTTAAAAAGCACCTGCTACTTCTAAAAATTACATTTGAGCGGTCGATTCCGAGTCGATGCTTGTCGCACAACAATGGAGAACGCCTCCCCCAGTACTGTGCTGATCATGAACAGTTTCTGGCCGGCACGAACATTCAGCATAAAGTTTCAGGTCACGTAACCTGGCGGCCACCAGCTGCAAATCAGCAGTGAGTCCAGTTGGATCAGATGGCCATCCGCCAGCGGTGGAGAGCTACAGTTCAAGACTGCCGCTCTTTCAGAAGCACATAACTTGATTCCGATCCCGCCATGGTTTCCCCTCAGGCCCTCGTAAGTCAGCAAGAAGCATGCCAGTCCACCATCGTTGAAGACCTACGGTAGCCCAACATTATCGATCTGGGCCAGACCAACAACTCTTCACAGCTAAAAATACTGTAGTGTTAGTGAGCATGTGAATGAAGCATGGCAACATAAAAAATGAGCTATGCTCGAGGCGCTCAGTTCTGTCCGTCCAACTTCTCCGATACGATCAAATGACCACTGGATATCGTCGAGATCGCTAGTCGCGACTAACACTAGGAACTCCATACCAGCAGGTGACGAGTACGACGGTGCGCGCAAATCCCCCAAACGCTAAATAGTGAAGAGCCTAAGGAAAGACCGAGAGGTCCGGTGAACAAAGAAACCTCGGAAGATGGAGGCTACTGCTACTGCAAGCAACTATGCCCTATATCAACTGACACGATAGACTGGGTCTAGGAAAGCAGCGGCCAGTGAAGCGATAAGTGAAAAAGGCAGCTCATTGATTCACTCGCAAAAACGTCGATTGGAAAGACGGGTGGAACACTTTGAAGATCAGTTTAGCTGGCCTCCTGCAACACAACCTATGGAGATAGTGTATACTGGCGAATGGAATGTAAACCTTGACTGCTCATTGGAAGAAGAAGTATGAAATATCCGTACTGAAATGTGAGAAGGCACCAGGGCCGAACAGTCTGTAGGCAGATCTATTTAAAGATGAAGAATCCTTGATGACCCAACTAACGAAGCTAATTGTTGCGATACGCATCAAAGAAAAAAGAAAAAAAGTGCAGAATGGGGCATATCGACAGTTATTCCCATCTTCAGACAGGATACCCGGACGTTGTGTGAAGACCACCGTGGCATCATCCTAGCAGCTGTGCATCGAAGGTGCTCTCTGGTCTTATCCTTCGAAGCTTGACTGAATACCGAGAGAGGCTGACACGTGACAACCAAGCTCAGTTCCGTCCTGCGAGAGGATGTGTTGACCACATATTCACCGTCCGACACATCCTGAAACGACGGCACTGCTTCCAGAGACCAACAATGGTTGGGTTCCTTGACCTGAAAGCTGTCTTTGACTCTGTGGACCGTCCGGCACTATGACAGTGTCAGCGAAGCAAAGGTGTCCCCCATAAATTCTTGACCCTCTTTAAGGTACGCCACGCCAACTCCCGCAGACATGTGAAGGTTTATGGGAAGCTCTCGCCTGAGTTCACCACATCAGATGGTGTTAAGCAGGACTATTTCCCCTTGGGGTAAAGTCCTACTGCCAGAATGGGTTGCTGGGACTCCTAACCTCCTGCTTGCTGATGAGTCGATTGAGAAAGTAGACAAATTTGTCTACCTGGGCATCTGCATCAGTCCCGGTTGCCTCATCGAAGATAGTATTTGCATCGGTGTTCGGAAGGCATGAGTAGCTTTGATGGACGTGCATCATCTGTGGCGACGGTATACTGTCAGCTTATTCGTCAATGGTCTGGTTGCAGGTGGAACCACTGTACGGCAAGCACGCTGTTCATACAACTGATAATGATGATGATGGCAGCGCACAAATTGTGTTCAGCATCTCTCATACAAATACGTTCAGCTGTAGCACCCTTCCGGTGTTCATCTGACATGGCACCCGATCGAAGCACGAGGGTTGGGATACTGCCACGTTGCCCAAGCCTCAGCAGGCAGAGGTCGGGCCGAACCACGGATCTTCCGACCAGCAAATTCGCGTTCTAACCACCCGGGCCATCTCACCCCATCTTTCGTACAAACGTTTGTGCTCAACTCATCTTCGTAAGTCAGATCATGG